CCTCCAGGTGCCGGAATATGATCCCAAGCAGAGGCTCTGGGAGCTCTGCCCACTTTGAATACTCGCGGTCCTCACGCTTGGGGCCCGCACGGCCGCGTACCGCGGCGCCCCGCTGCTCCGGATGCTGCTGCTTCTCGGCGCCGCTGCGCGCCGCCGCGTCGGCGACGTCGGGGCAGACCTGGATGAGGAGGGGGTGGCCGCGTGGCGGCGGCGGCGGCGGTCGGCGGTCGGCACGGCAGCACTGAGAGCGTGCGCCTCGGGGCCCAGGGAGCGGCGCGGCGGGGGCCCACGTTACCAGGGCGGGTGTGATGAGGTCCGTGCGTGCCGAGGCGTGAATCTTACCTTGCCCGTATGCGCACGGTAGTACGCCGGCTTGCATCTTTCCAAGATAGAGGCCATGCCGGTCGGGTGTGCCTGGGCCCACCAGAACGGCCTTCCAGCCGCGGGAGCAGTCTCGCAGAGTAGAAAAAGCTCACTAAGAAGCTATTGCATGTAATAAATACGCGTCGGAGAGGGGCGCGGCCTCCGATCGGCTTCTGCTCTCAATCTTGAAGTTGCACCAGAAGCGAGGGCCGTGCGAGAGGGTAGTGTTGCTTGGAATGATAGTTGAGTGGCCAAGATGCGATGTCGCGGACGCCGACAGCCATGTCGCCAGCAACATGGTCGCGCATGTTCGCCGCCCACTCACCCTCATGCCGCGGTCACGTGCGTCCTGATGGTTGCTCAACCCCCGCAGCGTAGCAGCAGCGCGCCACGGCGCCCGCCGCCGTACAGTGCGTGTGCTCAAACGCAGCATCAGCGGCAGGCGCATGTCAGCGTGTGCACGCTTTGCTGCCCGACCCAGTTGGTGCCTTTTGACTCGTGATGACCCATGTGACAGGGGGCACTGGGGAACTCCACCCCTCCTGCGAAGCCATAGATAGTAGCAGGCCCAAGCCAACGGCGAGCCTGAGCGTCAAGGCGCGATCAAGAACTCCGTGCAGCCGTCTGCGTGGGTGGGGGGCGGATCATACCTGGCGCTCACGTGGGGATTATGCCGCTCCCCGCAGGTGTGCCCAGCAGGTGGTGATGCGCCAGGCACTGCGCGTTTCGTAACCCTGACTGCCACCACCAACCTCTCCATATCTTGCGTGCCTCATACTCAACAATTGCCGTTCGCATGGGAGGCCATCCGACCTGTTTTGGGTTGTGAGCAACCCGGTCAGTTGACTGTGGTTGGACTGGTGCCCGGTGGTTGGCGGGGCAGCCCCCGATGATGAACGCAGCTCTCCACACCTGCCGAGCATATCACAACACGCATTGTACAGGTGCTGATGGTTGCGGCGCTTTCCGCGCAGCCAGCTACCCACTGCTGAGCTGCAGGTGTTCATGTGGTGCGCCGGTGCCGTGCGAGTTGGGACGGGAAGGCGAGTCTTCCTTGGCTGCGGCACGTCTTGTGTTGCAAGCTACGCATACGCTAGTGCTGTTCGCGCTTAAACTAATTATATGAACCGCGGAAATCATGAGATTTACCTGATGGGTTGGCCGGACACCCGAGCCTAGGGCCACCCTGACCATTTTCACGCGAAAATGACGGGTTTTGCACTGATGACGTTGAGGCAGATCAGCGGGCTTTTCGTGGTCGCCCTCGTGGCAACAGCGGCGGTGGCACCGGCGCGCGTTGAAGGAGCGTGCAGCGCGGCGAGCTTGGCCTTGTTGCCCTCGGACTCGCCGCTGCGGCGCGATATATCTTCCCTGCCGGTGCACAGCAACTCAGAGTGAGGGATATCATACCTGCAGCAAGCTGCAGCTAAAAGAGGCGGCTGCTGTCGCAGCGTGCCTGGCGCGGCAGCAGCGCGCATGCAACGTCTGTTGCGCACGCGACAGGAGTGCGACCCCACGCCTCGCATCAAGACTGGCGCCCAGCAACCCCAAGCGGCGCCTGCATGTGACGTCCTCCCGCCTGCACCCCAAACGCCGCTCGCTCACGTTGCGGTGCCGCAGTGCGATCCTCGCCGCGCTGTCGTCCCCAAAAGCCCCCGGCTCTGTCAACCTCCACCCCGACTTTTCGGGTGAGCCGCTGCCACACTCGTCACTCCGCTGGACGCGCCGCCCACAGGCGCGCGCGCAAAAGTTTCCGTGCGCTGGGGCCGCCGACAGCATCGCTGGTCTGAAAGGGCTGCGCACGGCTGCAATTTTGGTGGGTGATCGCGCACACCATCCCACAGGCGGCGAGGACAAGGCTTCGGGGCACATTTACTACGGCATCCCAATCAACTACGTCGACACATCAAAGGTGTGGAATGACAATCGAGGGAGACGGCATTGTGATGGGAGGCTGGTCACCCCAGGAGCAGGACTGCGGCGCAAACGGGCAGCCCCACTAGGTCATGCGTGGCCTCGGCCCTGAGCTATTGAGTGCCGGGCGTGTTTTTGGGCGCCATACTCTGCAAGTGGGCACGACAGGCGCCCTGCCGGCGCAGCGGATGTGCGGGCGCGCGGCTACGTCTTGAGGCCCGTGAGCGACCAGGCAGGCAGCCGCCTCAAACGGCTGCCCTCGCAGGCGGCCATGTGCAATCATGCACGGCAAGCATCTTTTGAGTCGACGCGCAGGGCCCTCAAGCCACCGCCACCGCCGCTGCAACCTCTGCGGCAGGGGGACCCCTTCAATCCGATCACGTTTGATCTGTACGGCGACCAATCGGACCCCGGGCCCTACCCCTTCAAGCTGTCTGCCAGCATAGAGGGCTCCTACCCAGGCTGCTCGTACAAAACGTGCGCGACCCCGGGGTGACCGCGCCGGTCCCCAGGACCACGTGCAGTAGAATCTCGGCCGTCAGAGCACAGCTTGCAAAGCTCTTGGCAGCGCGTGTTGTGTGGGCGCCGCTGCATACGCAGCTGTGATGCAGCGCAAGCCAGACATCCTGCCATATGTCCCTCTACCCACACCTGTGCCATACGTGCTCACACATCTACACGAGCACACACACATACACACATTTACACGCACACACAAACACGCACACACACAAACAAACACTCATGCACACATTCTGACATTAAGGACACATGCTCGCACGCGCACACTAACACACACCTCCAGCTGTGACGGCGACCGCCACGTGCTGACGGTCGACCAGGCGACATGCACCCTGTACGAGGCCTGGTCCTGCAGGGAGCCAAACGGCGTCGACACAAAAGTGCGGCTTGCGTCAGCGCGCATGCACACCGCCAAAACGCTGCATCTAGCTGCCGGGCGTGCAAATGCCGCCGGCCAGGGCTGTTGTACGGCGTGTCACCAATCACGTCAGACTCTCAATCGTCCTTGGCCCCATGCTCCCCCGTTATCATCACCTGTGACAGGGCTGGACCTGCGCCAACGGGGCCAAGTTTGACCTGACCAGCTCGGCCATGCCGCAGCGCCGCCTGGGCTGGACCAGCGGCGACGCCGCCGGCCTGCCCATCGCGCCGCTGCTGGTGCGCGTGGAGGAGGTGCGGGCCGGGCTGATCGAGCACGCGATACGCTTCACGGCCAGCCACAGGTGCGTGCGGCGCCGCCTGGGAGGGGTCGGCTGAGGGGCGCCCCGCGGCAGGTAGCAGGGCTGCAGCAGGGGTTCGAGGCCGCGCGCGAGTACAGCAGCGGCACGCCGTGTTCGGCGACGGCGTCTTTTCAGGGCAAAGAAGGCGCGCAGCATGTTAAACGTCTGACCGCCGGCCGATCCCCGTTTAACCTTTGGCGCGCCGCGCCGCAGCCGCACGGCCTACGCGCGGCCTGCAAGCCACTTCGCCCCGTATAGTGAGCCATGACCCATGCCAGGCCTTGCCGGGAGGGGTTGAAGCCTGGTTGTCGTTCAAGAGGTCTCTTGTCTACAGCTGTTGCTAGTCACTCTACATGCCACTTTGTTTCATACGTATTACCTATCCTTGCCCTTCCAAACACCCGCCCCTCCCCACGCAGACGAGATTCCGAACGCCCCGTGGATGGGCCTGCAGGCCCGCCTCAAGGCGTCCTTCCGGTGCGCGGGCCTCGTCACCACCGCGGCGCGCACCATCTGCACTGCCATGAAAAAGTACGGCCTGATCCTGGCAGACAACGGCTCACCCTGGTACTTTGGGGGCGAGGCCAGCCCGTTGTGGGAGACCGACACGGGCGTGATCTCCAACTTTGACCAGTTCCAAACTGATATACGCTCCATCAAGGTGCGGGGGCAAAGCATACGCAGGAGTGTTGCTCTTTCGTTTGCCAGCCAAAAGGCTTTGTTAGCAAGCAGGCCAAGGGTGGCTGGGCAGTGAGCTGGCGCAATCAGGGTGCCGCCGAGGAGTGACGGCCCCATAAGATTCAACAGCAGCCACGCACCTGCCCAATCCCACTTCAGCAACTCTGCACATGCTTAGCACACAGCTGCTGTGCCATGACCCCACACGCTCAGATCATTCCATGGCCCTGCACACCCAGATTCCAAACCTCTGCGCACAACCGACACAGGGCAGCAACTTTGAGGTGGTGGACAACGGCGCCTGCCTCTGCACCAATGATGGCTGCACCACGTGCCCTGACACGCCGCCACCCTCCACGTCCCCAAACCCATCATCGCCGTCGCCGGGCACATCCCCAAACCCACCGTCGCCGTCCCCGTCCCTGTCGCCGTCGCCAAAGCCGGGCGGCAGCACGGAGGTCTTCCTGCGCCGCGGGTTGGCCGCGGCAAAGGTGGACGGCTCAAGCGACCCGGCATACGACCAGGTGGGGGCTTGTGCACAAACAGGAGCGGAGCACTGTTGACGTTGCTCCCACTGCATCTGAGAAACACCATCATCCGTGTTTTCCTGCCTCTCATCGTCGCACTCAAACTTGCGATTGCTGGGGTTCTACTGCATACATAATAGACTATCCACTTACTCTCAATCTCCTATTGTGCCCCCCTCCCAAATTAAAAGGTGGTTGATGCGGTCATATCCAATGCTGCCGCCAGTCCGGCCGCACCCAACGGCAACACCACCTTCTGGCCTGAGTCCCAGGCGCTTACACTGCAAGAGGCGCCCTCAGCGGGGGCGTACACTAGTCGCGCCCTGCTGCGATTCGGCCTCATTGATCTGTGAGCTCTAGCAGGATGGAGGGCCCCCGCACGCGTTGTCGCGTGCAGCAGCAGGGCACACGCCGCGTGAGCCCGCACTAACTGCTCTGCTTGGCAGTCTTTGATCCCCAGGCCACATGCCCTGCAGTAGCCGGGTGCACAGCTGCGTTGCACCCCAGCCGCGTGACAGCCCCCTGATGCAGTGCCGATGTTGTTGCCTCTAACCGACGGTGTGAAAGCCTGACCTTGTCATTGGGCACACGACATCATTCTGGCGTCACAGCCCGTCTCCGTCCTCCCCTCTTGCCCACCCATCCCCCAGGTATGTGCCAAAGAAGAAGACCACCCTCTTGTCGGCAGAGCTCACCCTGACATTCATCAACCCAGCCGCGTCACCAGTAGCCGCCCAGGGCTTAGTCAACACCCAGGCGTGGCTGGGCACCAGGATCAGCGGCCTGGACGCCTCGCGCCAGCTTGGCTGGACGGTGCGGCAGCCGGCGGCGTCCAATCCGGGCAGGAGGTGCGCGTCAGGCGCCGCCACCAGCGGCGCCGATCGCTGGTCCCCAGCCCTGGAGCAGCTGTTGTGCTGACTGACGTCCTTCCAAGTGATGCCCCTTGCCTGGGCTCGTTTCCTGCTGCGTCGTCCCCCTACGTTCCGCAATTTGGCTGTGGCAAGCCACCTGCCGTCCCCGACGCCCCTCATCCCCACTCCATGCATTGCCACAGGGCTCCTCAAAAGTGGTCCGTGCCGGGCGTCTGGCCCAAGAGCAATCGGGTGGCCAGCCTGTTCACGTTCACCATACCTGCAGGCGTGACCACAGTTACCATACCGCTCCCAGTCGCCAAGATCAAGCCCTGGCAGAGCATTAAAAACCGGTCAAACTTTGGGGTGCTGATCAGGCTGGCCGCGGGCGAGGCGGGGCCCGTGACAGTGGTGGGCAGCCTGGGCGCTGACGTGGCGTCGAGGCCGTCGCTGAGGATAACGTGGGTGACCAAGTGATGATGAAAGGCCGAGGCAACGTCAAGGGAGGAAGGCAAGTGGCTTGCGCCCCAATCATCGAGGGCAGCATCAACATGTTTATGTCTGTCTTCGGAAGTTGCGAGTTCGCCTCAACCTTGTTTGATGTACCTTGGTGGCTGCTGGTGCCCACACATGCCATGTTTTCATGCCGCTAGCCAGCCACACCGACACAGTTGCCTTTTGCACCTGTTGCCCTGCTCTTGATGTCAAATGCCAGATGCATGCAGTCCTGAATTGCCCATGGTCTATCGCTCCACAATCCCGATTAATCCTCGTTCATGGCCATTCTTGCATTCTGCAGGCTGCTGTTGGAACACTTGCCACAGTCCTTTCATTGCGCCGGGCTGCACGCCTTGGTTTTGCGCCCACTGCACCCACGCTCACATTCTGATTGGCGCCACCCCCAATGTCACCATCCTGCTAGACCCCCCTTTCTGCACCCCCATGCTGCACCATCATGTCGCCTCTCTTCAACCTGCTACACGACGGAAGCACTCTACCAACATTTTCTAAAGCGTGGAGCCAGCCGTAACCAACGAAGTACCCCGCTTTCCATCTACCCAGGAAGCATCACCTCCCCTGGGTTGTTGCAAGCATTATTGCATTTTTGCCATGCCATGCTTTTCAATGCAGCCGCTCATGATCGCAAGCCCCCTCAGGGCGCTCTCTGGAGTATGCACAAGGCGCGCCACATCATCGCACGCGCACGACCCCTGTGGACATGTTCCACCAACGCATGCACAGCCCAATTATGCCACACTTTGCAACAATTCCAGTATCTACTTGGCACCTGAGCTGAAGGAAAGCAGCGTTTTGCAAGCCACATCAGGCACATGGATGGCTCTGTAGGAGGTGTGTGTGGGGGGGAGGGTATGAGGTAGGGGTGACCGACAGCAGTGCAGCCTTAGTAGCGCTACTCCGCACAGCGCTAGCGCTGTGCTGGTCCTCACATCAGACAGCAGCCCGGCATTCGATGGATGCAGAAAGCGAGCGCCCACAAGCAGTTCTGATCATTCAGGGATGCTCACCCGCACATTTGCCGCTGCCATGCGTCTGGCGTCATCAGACCACCGATAGCCCCTGCTGCCACAGAGCTGCCGCCCCCGCTGCCCGTCCCTGCCACTGCTGGGTCAGCAGTCATCGTGTATTCCGCCAGCGCGCCGGCCCACGAGCGCCCCGTCCCGCTGCCGCCGCCACCGAGCGCTGGGCAGAACTCGCGCCTGAACGCGGCGGGCAGGCGTGCAGCTTCCCCAAGAGGCAGTGCGCACACCGCGGCCGGCAGGCGAGCGAGCAGGGTGGCCACAGGCGCGCGGAGCTGGGGCGCAACCAGGACTCCAACCGCTGCGCGGCGCAGGGTAGTGTCTGTGGTGGCAATCCATTTGGGGGCACGCACGAGGGGCGGCAGGTCGAGTGATTAAGTCGAGTGATTAAGTCGAGGGTTTCATCGGTGCTGCGAGTTGGCTTTTTGCAGCTCGTGCGACCAGGCCCTGGTGAGCGTCGCGGTTGCATTCTTGCCCCTGGCGAGGTGGGCGGCGGTGGCCGCCGCCCGAATAGTCCCGTTCAGCACGGCCGTCAGCGGCACTTGCGACAGGCGGGGCAGCGCCGCGCGCAGGCCCTTGATGTTGGCCGCCACCGCGTCCGCCTTGACCTCGGACTTGAATTCCAGGATGCGCTGCGCTGTGGCGTTGTCCGCCTGCGGTGCAGGTGAACCGCATGGCAGCGCCCCGGTTTCATGAGCACAGGGCAGCACGATAACTCTGAGTGACTGCACAAACCCCAACCTTGGGGTATATCAATCCCGCAAAGACAGGATTGCGCTGCACAATGCAGTCAAATCAAAAGCCGTTGACGTCCCCATCCAACTCAGTCAGACACGCACGCTGAGGCCGGCGGCTTACGTGGTACCGTCCGGTCTCGCACGCCTCGGAGGGGCGCTTGAGCAAATCGCACAGCCGCGCGTGCAGCACGCCGCTGCGCACGCGGCCCATGGACAATTGGGTGACGATCGGCACCAGAGCCACGTCGTACGGGCACTGCGGGGCCGGCGCCGCCGGGTGTTTGGGCGAGGTGCTTGGATCGGTCAACAGAGCGCTGCCAGAGCCGCTCGCCACGTGCCAGCAGACCGGCATGTGCCCGCGTTGCGCGCCGCTCAAGTCTGCGCCTCGTCTTCGCCAATGATCTCTTGTCCAAGTGCCATGGCTTGAAAAACTGAACACAATAACGCCACTCCCTGCACTCACAAGCCCCACCCAATGACTCACCAGCTGCCACCGAATCTGAAGAGGGATCTTCGCTAGCTTGGCCGGCGGCACCTGGCAGAGCGCGTCCGGCATAGCGCCAAACGCCGCCCCAAGGGGCGAAAGCCCGACGAGCACGGCCGTCCGTGCCACCCACTGCGCCGCCGCGGCAGGCCCGCTCTGCGAGGACGCCTCCAGGCGGTGGTGCAGCGGGCCCAAGGCGTCGCCGCTGGCTGTGCCTGTGAGGTTGCAGGCGTCCTGAGGGTACAGCAGCACATTGCACACTCGCTTCTGCAGCCTGGTGGCTGCGGTGGTGTTGTCGGCCGCCAGCAGCGCAAGCGCACTGCCGAGGTTCACAGGGTTGCTGGCAGCCTTCTCGATCCTGGCGTCGTTGGTTAGACCGGCGTAGCCGAGCCGAGGCACCCATGCCAGCCTGGCAATGTGATTCAGAGGGCACAGCTGTGGCAGCAGGAATGGTTTGTGGGTAGCACTGAGCTTGAGGTGATGTGCGGGGAGCTTGCCGTTCCAACTGCTGCCATGCACCGCTCAGGGCAATTGGGGGTGCCGCGTTGAATCTGCTGACACGGGGCAGACACTGTCCAGCAAAGTGCGGTGCGCCTCTCGTCCCGGCGGGTTTACTGGTTGCTGGGTGGGGGTCGCGCACCTCATCGGTGACTGAGGCGGGCAGTGAGGCAATCCCCTGGGTCCCCAGGCCGCACAGCTCAGAGGGGAGCGACTGGAAGAACGCGCGCAACGCCGGCCCTGTCGCAGCGGGCGGCAGCACGCGCTCCAGCCAGCGCAGGTGCAGCGGCAGCGGCGCGCTTGCCGTGCCGCCTGTGTAGGCAGCCAAGCATACCACGAAAAGTAGCAGGTGGCAGGTCAAGGCAGGCCTCATTTGTGAAGGTTGTGGAGTCGCTGGCTATGGTGAATGCTGCAACAAAGTGTTTGATTCTTTCAGAGGAGGCACCCAATTCTTTTCCAAGCAAACGAATAGTTCAGCTCCACACACTACAACTAAACAAGCGGAAGGGCGACGGGGACGGGACTTTCGGTGGTCTTGCGGAGCTGCTGGAGGGCGGCTACGGCCTTGACAACTCCGTCGGCGATCACACCGAAATTTCAAGGTTCAGAGATGACTGTTGGATGTCCGGTGCGACATGCAGTCCCTTGTCCCGGCTTGAATTTTTGGCCAAATGGCCAAAATTAATGTTCACACGACCTGCAGCTGACCTGGCCAGTGCGTACCATGCAACATGGTGCAGTCTGCACCTACTGAGTAGAAGCACACTGTCTTGGACTGCTGGACGCAGAATCAGGGGCACGCTGAATCACAGCAGCATGTCGTGATGATTAGGAGCACTAAAGCTGGTAAACAAAGGACCAGATTGCAAAAAGTGTAGCATGCATATGTGCACACGCGTCGAAGCAAAGCAACACCTGCACGTGGCAACATCAGATTGCGTTTGCAAGCGCCGCTCGTCGTTCAAATGGCTGCCTGGGTGCCCCTCGACACAGTCATCACACAGTATGCATCATACCATGACAAGCACAGCCATTCCGCTCCAAACAGTAGTCAAAAACGATTGCATGTAAACAGTTTGATGATGCCAGCATGCCCTCCCCCCAAAGGAAGCATCCAGTCGTTGACTACCACAGCCGCCACCCCGAGCCGCTGCTGCCCTCGCGCTCCCGCCGCCGCTCCGCAGCCGCGTTGAGCGCCGCGACCACCTTGTCTTTCGGCGGCTCCTCCCAGCTCTCAAGCAGCACTGTGTCCTCAATGCCGCTGGAATCCTCTGTAAGGGTGCGCCATTGCAGAAAGACGTGTGACATTTTTGGTGGAGTCTGTGCAGTATGCAAGCTGTTCAGGTTTGACCTTAAGTGTCAGCTTGGCCACGCCACAGCTATGCGCGCGCGGGCGCGATGGCTCACAACCCCTGCTCACCTGCCGTCGCATTGAATGTGGGCGCAAGCTGCACCACTGATAGCTGCCGTGTCAGCAAAGCTGGGTGCATTCGCTGGCATCCCTGCACTCATACCACGCATCTCTTTGCACAGCTGCACCTTTCATCTTTATCACACCTCCAGCCCCCCATTGATGCACGGGCATGTGCACACATGCAGGCGCGCGCACACACACACACGCATACGCACATACACACACACACACACACACACACAGACACACACAGACACACACACACACACATACACATACACACACACAATTCTCACCGCTGCTTGAGGCGTAGAGCCTCCAGGGCTCCCCCCAGCCGGCCGTGAGGCAGCCGAAGGCGCTGCCCCTGCTGGTCCGCACTATGCGTGCAGTGTAGAGGGGCCGCCACCCCGCGTCATCGATCAGCTCCCTGGCCCTCGCTTTGACGTCCCTGCATGACGGATGTGTTTGTGTGTGTGTGTGTGTGTGCGCGTGCGTGCATGTGTTGTGTCTCTGTGTGTGTGTGTGTGTGTGTGTGTGTGTGTGTGTGTGTGTGTGTCGATGCACGATCAGAGAGCGTTGGTGTGTGCCTGTGTGTGTTCCGTGTGCGTGTGCGCGCGCATGTATGTGTTGTGGGCGCCGCGTGTGTCAGGCGATGACTGATGACACACAGATCACAGATGCCGCTCTCTTTGCCAGGTGCAACGCCATACGCCCCCCGCCGCAGGGAGGGCGGGATAGAGCATGCTGGCGCGACACGGTATCGTGCCCGACCAAGGCTCTACAGTCCGCAAACTCCCAGCAGCCACCCCAGCTGCCACATCCCGGTGAATCTGCACCTCTGCCAGGGCTGCCCGATGTCCGCCGCGCCCGTCCAGTCGGCCACCACCACCAGCGCCTGGTCGGGCCGCGTGGGCTGCGCCCCAAACCCGCCCTCGCACAGCTTTGCAAAGGGGCCGAACGTGGCGTTGACGACAATGCCCGCCAGGACGAGGTCCTTCATCTGCCACACGCCCAGGCCTGCGGGGCGCAA